ACTGCTGTAACCAACTTCATCACCAGACTCCATACAAAAGCTGAAAGCTGTTCTATAGAAGGTAACTGTCAGCAGTCCTCAGAGCAAACAAGATTAAATCCACTGACTTTGTCATTGACTGGGGTCAACAAACACACAATGTTCATGTCTTAACTGTTTTTGTGTAACTAAATATGTTTATCCTATTTGGTCCAATTGAGAACCAATAAAATACCCAAGTAGGCTAAAAAGACCCTACTTTTTAGCCTACTTGGGTTTAGTCAATGCATAAATGAAATTTGAGTTTGGGGGAGAAAGGTACAAAAAGTGAGAAAATGTTTTGAAGAGGTAACAGATGTGAACACAGAGGAAGTTTTGAGTGGGAGCAAAGAATGAGAGTTGAGCTGGTTTGAGACTGAAAGAAGGAATCCTGACCCATAACCATGAATGACTTTGTTCACACAGGAGACATGGCAGCTGATCAAATAGTAGTTCCTGCTCTTGGTCGACCTTTCACCTTGGGGATGCTCTATGACGCCCGGAAAGAACAAATTGTCCCAGGTAAGTTTAGACATAACATCACATTTACATTTGGACCCATTTCTGAAATACATTTACTTCTAATTGGTGTTTCTTGTTAAATTTCAGTTTGGTGGTATATGTTATCAGAATATTTTCATGTCTTATAGGTGTCACTATTTGGGATGAAGAAAATTTACAAGCGATGACTAAAAAGTGTGATCAGCATAGCAGTGATTTTCAAATCACTAAATTTAATTCACTGGAAGAGAAATCCTCTCTGCTTGACATGAATGCTTCCATAAAGGCCAGCTTCATGGGAGGCCTGATTGATGTTGAAGGATCTGCAAAGTTTCTGAATGACAGGAAGCAATCCTTCCATCAGAGCAGAGTAACTTTTCAGTACAACGCCACAACCATCTTTGAGCAGCTGATGTTGTCAGCTGCTGACATTAGAAAGAACCAGCAGTTAAGTAATTTGGTCAGAAGTTCAGCTACTCACCTGGTAACAGGAATCCTTCATGGAGCAACAGCTTTCTTTGTGTTTGACAGCGAGGCATCAGACGTTAGCAGCGTTCAGGATCTTGAAGGCAGCATGCAGGCTGTGATCAAGTTGATTCCCTCATTTAATGTTGAAGGGAAAGTTGATATAAAACTCACTGACAGTGAAAAATCTGTGTGTGATAAAATGACCTGCAAGTTTTACGGTGACTTCCTCCTGGAAAGCAACCCTGCAACATTCGAAGAGGCAGTGAAATCTTACACAGACCTCCCAAAACTCCTGATAGACAAGAAGGAAAATGGCGTGCCAGTTAAAGTTTGGATGATGCCTCTGAAGAATTTGACCCCATCAGCTGCTAGGGTGATGGCTGACATCAGTCCTGATACTGTAGGAAAAATTCAAGATGCTCTGGAGGCGATGGACCAACTGAAAATAAGATGCAACAAGTGCCTGGAAGACAGATATCATTTCCCTTCCATTCATAAAAAATTGAACAGTTTCAAACATAGTTGTGATGAAAATATAACAAAACTTCAAGACATGTTGGCAGAAAATATACCCCCCATTAGGGCAGGTGAGAAACCAGAGGAGGAGCTGCTGAAGTTAACCGATGACAAGGAGAAGCCTCCGTTCAATATCAAGGAACTGAAGGAGCGGATGAAGAATATTGAAAGAGAAGTCGTGGTAATCAGATCCTGTGAAGAGATGATGAAGGAAGCAAAGATTATAACAAGTACAGCAGAGCTGGATGAAGAGATTTTTAATCCTGAAGTAGATGAAGTTCTCTGCTTCGTTTTCACCTCCTTAGAAACCAAAGACTCCCCTCCTAAGGAAAATAAACCTGCCTGGTACTACGACAACAAGCTGATAGCCAAAGCAAGAGAAAAAGCCAGGATGTTGGGGGATCTTGCAAGAGCTCTGAAGAGCAGCAGCAGGTACAGATGTGTTGTGGCAGAAATCAGTGATCCACAGCATGAAGGAGCAACGATTTACCACTACAGGCAGAACGAACTCCTCAGCAAGGATTTCAACAAACCCGAAGTTCCTGATGTGGAGAAGATTACAGCAAGAAGAGATTTAATCTGGTGTAAGTTATTAATTATGTCTTTTACTTACAAACATGTCTATTTCTAACTTCTGCAGTCTGGAAGTTTTACTTTCTGCTTTCCCTCAATTTATGCTAAATTAAATGGTTTAAAATATTTCTGACCATCTTCATCTATAGAGTTGACAGAAAATTTGAGATCAAAAGAAAAATTTAGAAATTCAGAATTTCTAAACAAAAATCCATGACATGAATAAAATGTAATCATTGTTAAATTCCTGCTGGTAAAATAAAACTAATCATGAATCAATAATATGTTGATAAAAACTAGAGGTCCATGATGACACTAAATTTTAATGACAGTTGAACTTAGAAGCCCCAAAAAACAGGCTGGTGGCAACAATGGAGGATCTCATAATAAGTGGAAAGACCTCATATTTCTGTGAGGGGGAATTATACCAGGGTGGTCATTTCTGTTCGTTTCAAACTGTAACAGAAATGCTAACTTAGGAACACTCAGAAACTGAAACCATGATTAACAGAATTCACAAAGAGACAAAGAAACCAATATAACATGAGCATGAATGAAGATCCAAACCAAAACGGTGGCAACAAAACTACAAAACAAAAAAAACAGGAAGTGAGAAAACATCCAGACAGAAAGAGTTGAGGTCAGAAAGAAATACTTAACATTTTAGAAGTACAAGAATCTTAAAATTAAAGAATAAACTAACTATGGCAAGAACAGAGGAACAAATGTTGCACCTGAAGTCGATGATGTGACGACAGCAGCAGTTCATCCTGCAGTCGGTGGGTTGTTGGTTTGAGCCCTGCTCCATCCGCCTCCGTCATTATATAATTGAGACACTTCACTCTCCTTGTCTGCTGGTGGTGATCAGAGGGACCAGCAGGTGGCGCCACTGCATGGCAGATTTGCCTCCGTCAGACTGTCAGGGCAGCTGTGGCTACTAACCATCAGCATGTGAATGGAAACGACTGATTTAATGTAAAGTGTCTGAGTGTCCCAACAAAGCACTAGATGAGTCTGATGTCAGTTCATACCCAGTTAATTATATCAAGTCATTTTAACATCCTCTTTCAAACTTTAGATCATGTCTTTCCTCAACATTCACTGTGACACAAATTTAAATTCAGACCGTAAATAGTTTCTAAAATAAGTTTAATTTTACATTGTCTAGAGTTTCTCTAGAGTTATTCTTAGCTTTTGTGCCTTTTTGGTGCAGCAAAAAGATCTGATTAGTAGAACCTTAAAGATAACAATAACATTTTAATTCCCTTTCTATTATTATGAATAAAAAGCCAACTGACATTGAGGTGAGGTGTTGCTTCTCTTGCACTAATTGATCAGGATTCTAATAATCTTTTCATCAGTTGTTTTTCATACTAACTTTATGGATAGACTAACCAACTCATAGACTCTGATGATAATCAGCTGCTTCTCTCCTCATCAGATGCTACTGAACTCACCCTGGATCCAGACACAGCACACCCAAACGTTACTCTTCAAGGAAAAACAGCAACACATGGAAATGAGGAACAGCCATACCCTGATCTTCCTCAGAGGTTTGATAGAAACTTCCAGGTTTTCTGCAAAGAGAAGTTGGATGGGCAGCATTACTGGGAGGTGGAGTGGAGTCTCGACAACACCGCAAATGTTGGTGCTGCTGTTTGCTATGGAAGTATGAAGCGCAAAGGTTTTTCTGAAGCTACTACAATAGGGGCTAATGCAGAGAGCTGGATATTTGGATATGCGTACAGGAACAGTGGAGAGGTAAGAATTACTTCTTTCTTCAGAAATCATGAAAATAAATTAGAAAATATAGACGTTCCTATGACAGGCTGCCCCCGTGTGGGACTTTTTCTGGATTGGATAAAAGGCTCGCTCTCCATCTACATCGTTACAGGCGAACAGCTGAGCCACATTTTTACTTTCAAAGAAACGACTTTCTCTGAGGCCGTTTATCCTGCATTAGAAGTCTGGAATGAAAATAACTTTGCCCGCCTTTGTTTTTGAATTCTGTGGTACAAGATTATGAATAGATTGAACTATTAACAAAATAAGAAATATTAATTCTTAGCTCTTCTCATCTGTAAGAAATGACCAAAAAAGTGTTCAAATATGGAAATGAGCTAGAATTACAAATTATTGATCAAAGTAAATAAGGTTCATATAGTAGAGTATAGCACCTTTAATAACCCATTTAATGAACGGAGGAAAACATTTATGCAGTTTCATAAATAAATCTAAATCTAAATGTAACCATGTACTAACTAAAGGAGTTAAAGGAGGAGAACTACTAACCACTAATTATATGATTTTACTTTATGATCTTTTCACTAAAAATGGATGGTTTTAAATTAATTAATTTTAATATTTTGTTCAAAACTCCTCACAGTTTGCAAAAAGGAAATGCATTTCTGGAATCCTTTATGTAAAAACATTCATTGTCCACATATCTCTTTTATGATGGAACATTATTCAGTTTTATTTTGATATTTTGTTAATAGGTACAAAAATGTTTGATTTTTCTTGATTTATAATCTAATATTTTGATCTCAGGGTTGTTGGCATTGATTGATTATGGATAAAAGCAAAAATAATTATTTTTGTTGCTTCTTAGGATTTGCTAAAACATCGTTTGAAATTATGTTCAGATTTTTATATTTGATTAAAATACAGTATGTCATTTTATGTTTTCTTATATTAGTCACTTTTATGTTTCATTGGTTTGCTGTTTTAGTTGCTTTGAAATAAAATGTGCTCAGAATTAGTTTAAATGTTTTTAAACACTTGCAGTCGGACAAGCTTTTCAAAAAACATTTTTCTGAAATAAAATATTGTACAAACATCTATTTTTCTTAAGTTTGAGTTAAAAACAAAATCTGAAAATCACAAAACTGTTTAAAAGGATGAGTCACTAAAACTGATGTGAAAGATTAGAAATATTTCAACGAACAGAAAATAGTTTATCTGTAAATGTTTTACTGAAACTTATAAAGAAAAGTCCTGGTGTGTTCGCTAGGGGGCGCTAAAGCACAACTGTTTACAATGAAATTATTTCAGATTGAATCATGTTAATGTTCATTTATTGTAATTTACTGATTACACATAATAAATTTATTGGGCTTTTGGGAAACAGTTTGATGTCTCAGAGTTTTTATTTCTGTTACTGATTTTCTGGACACAGCTATTGAAAACAGGAGATAAAAATAAAACGTTTCGGATTAGAATATTACATCAAACCAATGAAAATATTTGAATAAAGAAATATGGGCTTAGTGAAAAGTAGACTGAATACCAAGTGTGGGTAGTGAAATCTCAATCGATGAATCATAATTTGTATTGACACACGGAGCATAAAATCAGCCAAGAAAAGC